GACCGTCTGTGTGAAACAACAAATTGCGTAATTTGCCCTTACGGCAGGGACGGTGATTGAATGAGTTCAGGTACGATATACCTGATCTCGTGTAACAATTGCGGAGATGAATATATTGGCGAAACGGGCAGACCTTTGTGTATCCGTATAAAAGAACACCTGGATGGCAAACGAAAACTAAGACGAAGCACCCCACTAGGCACGCACGGGATACAAAAGCATAGCGGAAACGATTTTGAAGTAAAAGTCAATATCCTTGCACAGGAGTCCAAAACAACAGCGCGAAAACTCCTTGAGGCTTTTTGGATCAATGCCAAAAACCCTACAATGAATAGCAGGGATGAATGCCCGGAGGTCATACGCGACCTGATCCCGTACGTTCGCATCGATTTTTGATGTGGGATGGTGCAGTCGTCAACCACATGCGACTATAATCAGCTGTTCTAAACTTCCTCATTGGAAGTCACGAAAAAGCGGTGGGTTTTTCGAGAAGCTGTTGATCGTGTAATTACCAAAGAGTCTTTCGTCTTTTTGTAAGTGGTATTGAAGCGTTTGGCCTAGTAGATTATGTATCAGTATGCCCTTCCAGGCTTTGAAGAAGGCGATACTGCCGAAACGTCAACCAGTGTTGTATTGTATTGTGTTTTTATGGAAGTAAATGTATGCTGTTTAAAAACCTCGTGATTGCTGAACAAGAAAACGACACATTCCTATTCCAATGCCGAGGTTAAGAGAATGTCGATCCTGGGAACTTCATACAGATTGTTTAGATAAAAGTTACAAGTTTCCAATTGTGTTGTTCTTGTAGTATTTTCTTAGTTAAGTTTTTAAAGTAGAGATCGCAAAGGTAATTAGAAGCAGAGGGGATAGGGTACGTAGTTAGTATATTAGTAGTAGCAAACTTTTAACTAAATATAAAGCGGAAACTAAGTAATGTGACACTAAGGAACGAAACTGTGAATGTAGCTGACTGAAGTGCAATTTGAAAAGAAAACCACCAATGTATGAGATAGTAAACCAATCGTTTAAGACAACCGTGCACAACCACAAACACCAAACAGACGATTTGAATACTTAAAGTTCCCCCACTGCCAATAATCGTCGCATTTATTTTAAAAAGTCAGAATACGCTAAATTTAAAATCCGGCCAATAAACCTGAGTAATCATAAGGCACATAAGTCGATGAATGTTCGACAGTTACGTAAAAAAAAACTTTGTGCCAATTTTTCTATTTGTGTTTCATGTGAAAAATTATGTGAAAATGTATCGAAATTTGTGTAAACGACAAACTGTGATAAATAATAGGGCAAGTTCATTCAAGTAATGAGAGAAAGAGCTAACGAGTTAGGGTCAAAAGCATGTGGCCAACTAATCGATATTTTCAAAGTACAGTAAGAGTACCTTAAAAAAGTTCAAAAGTCCAACAAAACTCGGACCGAAAGCAAACGGTAGTTTTGGGACTGTCATAATGTTTGGACCAAAAAAAGTCCTATGGATGTGCTAGGATACAGTTTTCTCGAATATTTGTCAGATTTGAGTATTCAAAAAGTTTGAAAAGCCAATTATGGCAGCTTGGCGAACCTTAAGCATTCCACCAGGGAAAAAACTACATAAAAATGATTTCTTTAGAAAAAAATTACACGTTGTGCGTAGCGTCTCGCTGCGATTGCCAGGTGAATAGATTTTCTTTGCTGGAAAAAATTCAAGCCTCTATAACTAATAACTAAAGAACAGAACTAAAAACTATTGTGTGCACTGTGTAACTATGGCTAATAGGCGAACGCCTACTGACATCTGTACGAAGCAACACAGGGAATACCAGACAGAGCCAAGTAGCGGGTAGTAAAAATTTCAGCGCCAAGAGATCATAAAGTACCAAAAGCTTCGTGTGACTGTGAACAGAGAGATATTTTTGACGCATGTAATATGTATTTTGCCAGAGGCACTTTTGTCGCCAGAGGCGCCAACGGGATCAGGTTTGAGCGGTAGTTTTTCTACCATCTCCTTGACTCCTTTATAAATATCTACCATCTAAATCTATGCGAACATTTAGATATTTACCTGTTTCTCGGATGACCACCGTAGATGAACTTATAGGTGGTGGTGAGGGCGCAAATGAAAGCTACCGCCCAACATATCGTACCCATTACATGCAAATAGAAGGCGTAGCCGATACGTTGCTGAAATACAGCGTCCAACTACTTGATTTCTAAGACTTAATCAGATGTAAAAAGTAGAGCAGTGTTTTTTCTATCACAGATGAATCCCTCCACTCGAGAAACACCTTGCAAGAAAACAACAGCTAAAAAGAATGTCAATATCAGTTATATAGAAGCACGAATGATATTATTCAAGGTTTACAAGATATATCAGAAAAAACGTAACTAAATATACCCTTACAACAGAAAAAACCACCTGTACAAAATTTCTTATCATTAATTTACATATAAACTATAAAAAAGCTCCTATAGTCTTTAAAAGAAAGTTCCATATTCTTTGATTTTTCAACATTTTCCCATTCACTTTCTCTCCACTTTTAAATCTCCCGCTTGTATTTGCTAATTATTAGCTAGGAGGGTGGTTGCACGGACCCAGCCCGTTCCCTCAAATTTACGCAGGAGCGCTAGAGCACGGCTATCTCAAGACTCGAAGAAGAATCAGCATTCAACGACATTAATAAACGTGATGAAAATCCTAAAGCAGTAACCAAACCAATATGTGAAGATTTCCAACATCTTCGTGGGTGGTGGATAGGCGGAAACGAAAGGAATTGATGAAACACTGGTTAGAGGTGCCCTGCATTACCCACATGGCCATTTGCTCGAAATGGAGTGATTGCCAAGACTTTCACTACTGTTTATTTCAAATATGCATCTAGCCATCTCTGCAATGTTTTAAAGTAGTCTAATACATGGGAAATCCCTTAAGAATCGATCAAAACCTTAGGTCTAATCATTTTTCATTTAGTCTAGTTAGAAACGGTACACTGCTGGTACAATTAGTTCGTAAGAGAAACCAGTACAACTCTTTGACTTCGCATGACTCACAATCAACATTGAACCTTAGCAAAGAACCACTTGATAAATCAGAAGTTTTCATTTGAAAAAAAAAGTTGTAGAAAAACTTCACTTTACCAGTTAAAGCTTCTATTCACTAATTAGTAAACATTAAAGAGATTTTCGACCATTTTCATTCAGTCAGAAGCCCATTGCAAGAACTTCGATTAATATAGGGATTTCTCATCGAGAAATTTTACAAAAAAACACAATTAAGAATATCAGCTGTGAAAACGTAATAGATCTCCATTATGGGTCTCGCAACGTTCCTCTACATGGTTCTCACAGAGGTTAAATGAAAAGCTAAAGAGCTTATACGCCCACTTAAAAGCGTAGGCGGATTCGAGGGAAGCTGTAGAGTGTGCTGCATCGGACGACCCTAAGCCCACCACATACTAAAGGGCAAAGGGTAAAGCATTCAGCGTTAATCTATCCTTCAACAATTCATTCGATTTCATCAAGCATCGGAGAATCGACTGAGTTTATATCTAGCCTACACAAGGACTTGCATCGCTATACCAATATATCAAGTCAATGTTTATACGCTATTGTACATGTCTGAATTGCTCCATACTTTTCATATACAAAGATCAAAGGATGCCTACCGTGGGGTAACGAGGGTTTTAGTTAGCTCATAGCAGAGAATCGATTTGACAATTATTTGCACTGCAAAGTAGCTTTAACTACGCCGTTACAAACGTCCTCCTTCCGTACACTCATAACCATATTCATATATACGTGCGTGAATTGTCTGTTCGCACATTTCTTACAGATCGACTCTATTGAAATCTTTAGTGAAGTAAGCGGGAAGGATTATATACTGTTCGGAAATGTGTGCAATCAAAAAGTGCCATAAAAATAGAAGAAATCGCGCTCATTTTGAGGGAGCTCAAGAAGTTATTCGTTACTGTTTCCTAGCTCGACGATATAGCCTGGCCCATGTTCCATGCGTATGGGTAGCTTCTTGCCAAAAACCAAAAAGAAAACGTATAATTTCGAAACCACATAGAAAATCTAATGCTATTCATGACGACTAAACGCCATAACCATGGGTAACATTTGAACGATCCCAAATCACAGCGTTTTATCAATGCTTTCTCAGAAACAAACCTACTTTTAAGCGCTACTGCAGTGCAGCTCAAAAAAATCGGAAGAACTCATAGCATAACCCAAGCTTTTTTAGAATTTGTTTTAAGCCCTTCCCTCAAGAAGTTAAGGAATACCTCATAAGTGCCGACCATTCCTTGTACAAATCTATTGTCGACGCGATTCGCCGCTAAGAAGAATACACCGTCAGCAATCAGTGAACAAATCACTAAAGAATTCGTCTTACATTCTAAATGTCATTGATTAAAAAAGAAACTCTTTGTAAGAGTAAAAAACTGCAAAATATCATAAGACCAAGGTATCAAGTAAGAATAACTTTTGTGCTTGTAAGATATGCCGTTAGTCTATTGATGTTTATCGAGTAAAGATGAATGTGTCAGATTTTATCGCATCCCAGTATTTTTGATATTAACATACGTTGAACAAAAGTAGGGCCTGCTTAAAAAGAAGGGAAAGGTTGAACTACTTTTGTGCATGGTTTCAACACTAACACTTCGAGAAGTATGGTGGACGAAGTCGAGGAGTGAAATCAAAACCGTCCCACCAAGACCTTTGACAAGAAAACTTTCTCTGTGATATTGAGTATCCTCATGAACCATTAGTTTCCACTATAGAAATTGAATGCAGAGTAGATTATAGTAGTATTTAAATAAAGGTAAGTCGGTAAGCTAAGAAGTAACAAAAGGATTAAAAAGTGACTTACAAGCAAGGAAAAGTGAGATGGTAAAAACGAAAGCGGTTGGAGGGAAGCATGTGGCGCAGATGCCTGTGCAGATAGAAATGAATGCGAGTAACTGAGAAGTGATGATGAAGAATAAAATCGCTTTGTGCCAGGCTGAAAGAGATAGTAAAGGCGTTTATTACTATTATTACTACTATTATCATTTTACTGCTCCAACCGTGACATAACACAAGCTTTTTGTACCACATTGGTCATGCACTTCATTTCGAAACAACACGAAGAAATTGAAGCATTTAGGAGCTAGTACGTGAAACTCGTACAGATGCAGACGATCTTGTTTAAATCGCCGAGATTTCATTCAAAAGTAACCATTTCAGAAGTCGTCTACTTGAAAATACTTCAGCTATCTTGGAAGAACTTCTTTACCCATGAATCGATGATGTTCACTTTCACCAGCCGCACCGTCCTCGTCTATGTTGTTCAGTGTATTCTCAATGACTAGTTCAGCAGAATTATCAAACTGAAATGTATCACGATTCAATCCTTCACAGGCATTAGTCATGTCACCTTTAGTCATTCAGGTTATTTCTGCTTATGAAAGTAGCACGAAAAAGAAGCAAGAACAAGTAAAAAACACTTTAGCGGTAACCACTTGTTAGATGACAGCAGAATATAATGGCTTAGTAAGCACTGCTGGGTTATTGAAACTTTATTCCTTATAAATTAGTTGCAGAACTGAAAACTATGCAATGCAACCACCTTGTACATACAGTGAAGAGGAGTTTCATCGTAGAAGTCGCCGACGGCAACTACGTGCTTCTCGGCTCGGATACAATCCCACCATAGTCCGTGCTGAACATATTTACACTTTTTACGAAAATTATAATTTTCGATTTTTCTTAAATTGTCCGCTTAGTAAGAAGTAGAATACGAACCTTTCTAAATTTATGCTCCATGACCGTTCCCAACCATTATTTGGAGCCATGGACACAGTTGGGCGGAGAAAAAAATGGCACATGTATCATTTGACATACCGTTATTCATCTAATGGCTTGAAAGTACAAAAGTAATGTCTTTTGGTCCTTGGAGTTCGTCCTTGGTACAAACTAAAAGTGCTCACTCACTCTGTTCCACTCGATTGAAGGACACGAACATCATCACATTTCCCGTATAAGGGGCTTTACCTTTCGTTTGTTTTTGGTAAAGGCTTATTCATGAGCGGCCATTCGAACCTCATTATTTTTGTAGTTAGGTATAATCATATACAGCTTGTCGAACAGTTCCAGGATAGATGTATAGCTCTCGCGGCTATAAGCAACCCCAAACGGCTCTCCATGTATGGATTCGAGGTGTGAAATAATATACAAAATATAACTTCAATGATGCTGAGAGATCGGCAAAACTCCGGACCGCAGGTGTATGAGGTGGGAAACGAACGAGCTATTGTCCTTTCCAGGGAGTAGCGCGTTCACCACCACACCACGCGGGTCCTTCGTTTCGCCTGTCGATCAACTGATTCTATCGATCTTTTGCCATCAGCAATCACCCGTCAGCGGGATTGATCTGGGGAGCCCAAATCGGTAACGAACCCAGTTAAGCTGAGGCCGCAGTTATAATCACAATTTTAACTTATTATTTACTGCCTGGTGTGACCCGCATGGTGTGGTGGTGTACGCGCTACTCTCCGGAAAGGACAATAGCGCGTTCGTTCCCCACCGCATACACCTGCGATCCGGAGTTTTGCCGATCTCTCAGCATCATTGAAGTTATATCTCACAATGCCGTTAAAAAGAGTAGGCAGTAAATAATAAGTTAAAATTGTGAATATACAAAATAGTCTGGAATAAAACATTTGAAGTACTGTAACCCAATTCTTGTCTAGTAAAAATCTATTCAAAATTTTGGGCCTGTAGACCTGATATGGTCTCCAATGAAATGACTGATTGGTGAGCGTTTTCTGTTGTTTTGATGTGCGAAAAGGAAAAATGGAAATCGACCGGTGATATTCCTAACTAGCAAGATGGTAGAGGCAGGCTTTTGTACTCCAACTAGCTTGGCTTTTCATGATTTTAAAACAACACGGTCTTCGCTGTCGCATATATAAGTACGACATTTTCGGTGGTCTGATAAAGGCTATTCTTCAACAAACCTCTGATTTATTGTCTCTATTTCAAAAAAGTTTAAAAGCCTTCTACAGATCAGTAAATAGTAGTAATGGTATTTTCAGGATGGAACCTTGGTGTAGGCTTCTGCCATGGCTTGTCATGGCTTTTCATTAACACTACCGTCGAAGTGTGCGAAGGTCACATTGATTAATACTGACTTTGATAGTTATAAAAGATAAGCAAGGACAAAGCTTTCGGCGTTGATCAATCCCTGAGGGATACGCAATGTATTCAACTTCAATAAGCATAAGTTAGAGGTGATTGAATGCATATCTGCCCTGTACAATGACTCACAGTGGCTTAATGATGTAACAAGTAAGTGCTACTATTCTCCCATGCATGTCTAGTACCAATTTACGGATGGAACGTTTGATGAGCCGCTGGGGCACGGGATCGATCCTTTGTGTATTAGAAGGTTCCTCTAACCACTTCGCTATACGCAGCTCTTGGCAGTTATAAAAGTTAATAACCATACCTTTGACGGTATAGAAAAATTGATAAGAAACTAAAAAAAATCGATCCGCTTAATTCAATTGTTCAGTGTTCAGAAATGGAGCGAAAGTCACCATATCACGCTTGTTGCTCAGAGATCGCAAAGTACACGTGCCCAAAGATTTCTATTTCCAAGTTTAATGAAATATGTCCGACCTCATATGGTTGTTGGCTGAACGAAAAGCTTTAGAAATCTGCAGCAGTATGTCTACATGATAGAAGTGCTCTTACTCCATCCGTACGTAATTTTTAACGCGAAAGCTCGCATATCATCGCAAACATTGAAGCGACAGAACAAGTAGGATTTCTCGCACTATGAGAAGATGGTGATCTCCAATGTAAGCTGTGAGTGCGGGACACCATCAGTCGTGCTTGTTTAAGAAATTTGAAAAATCTAGACCGCGCCTTCAATTTTTTGTGAATTAAGACGTAAAATCCAAGGGACACTTCAGAAAGATCATTTATATATCTAGAGCGAAAGAGTAAAACCTCCAAAATTCTATCAAATTCCCGACTTCTGGACTATATCGTTGTCGAAAAATTATCACCTGTTGTAAGCAGATCGTGTATCGGGCGTTTCGTGCTAAATTTCACCTATTCTAACCTATTACATCGTCCTGTGGTTTACGGAAAACACGCGTCTATGAGACAGTTCAGCTCCCTTCATTAAAAAAGTTAAATTCATTGGAATGGCATCAACAACGAAGTCACTACCTACTCAAAAAATCACGTGATTATTTTTTGACATTATCAGAGTGAGTATAGAGAAAAATTAGTAGGGATACCCACCTGGTGTTCAGCTCTGAATTCACGAATGTCGACCACCTGCCATGCTGGTGAAAACGCTCCGGCAATCGTGAGCCCCAGCCCGACCAAAATGAACACAATCGACAAGGCCAGGAGCCCTTTCTGGGCGATTGTGCTCATTCAAGACTGAAATCGAAATCTACTTCTCAGAATCACAAATTAGTCAGCGAAGAGAACGAAATAGTATCGAAATAACTATAAGAACAGCAACCGAAGATGAAAGAGCAATAAAGCCGAACAGAACGAAATAAGAAGCAGATCTGAGAGGATCCATGTGAGAGTTCAGAATTGGCTGAAATATAGGATCACTAAAAATTCGTCTTCATTACGAATGCTTAGAAACAAATGCCTTAAAATAGAACGACGATGACGATGGACAATTCTTGGCTCTGGCGAATCCTATTGCAAAAATGTTAAGATAGCGAAAATGGATTTCGTTTTTGCGAAACTCTAACGACAAGATGATGATGACGATAATTATAATTTGCAAACGAGGCCGCTTTCAAGACGAGAGAGTCTTCAGAAAACGAATCATATGGTTCTCTTCAATGCTTCTATAGTCCTTAAGTCTTCAGAATGACAAAATTTTCTCACATTTAGCAAATCCTAGGACCGAGTTTTTTCTAAGCACGGAATTGAACAACACATCAAGAAAGCTTATCAGTGTCTTTCCTGACATTTATCTTTACATCGACTTTTAACAAGGGTTATATGTGTTAGCCAAGATAAATGTACTTTCTTATGGAATACTTTTTCAAACTATACATTTCAGCTCGAAAACGATCTGGAGTTACTAGTTTTTAAGTAGACTTTACTATTTGTGAGGAAGACGTCCAGAAAATCTCATCCAGAGATAGTAAAATTATGTGATAAGAATCCATGAACAGTGAGTAGAGTATGTCATAGTGAATGAAAACTCATTGAGCGCTAGTGCACGAGCAACATAAAAACAAGAACTACTAGACAACTGACATCATTTCACGAACTACTGGAATGAGAACATTCTGCTCAAACTAACGTTGATAGACATTCTTCGCATTCGATTCAACAAAGAGCTAAGAGAACCAAGCTGGTTGTAAAATCAACTGCATCATATCTATAAAGCTCGAGAGTGGATGAATTTCAGTCTTTTTAACGATCACAACTGGATTATAGTGGTCGCAGAGCCTGGCGCGGTCAGCAACGCCTACCTCATCCATCTCTCACTTTCAGTATCTAATGAGCTTCAATGAAGAACATCTAAATGGATTTGTGCTCGATATCTCCGTAGCAACAAGTGGGAAAGTGAAAAATGGTCTAACAAAATGCGGTAACGCTGAAGGTTAGTGGTGTTTAATCATGGAAGTCAGGTGACTGGCAAATGGGCAACCCCAACCTGTCGTAGGAATCGATGCTAAAGTAGCGTTGACTCACGAACTGAATCGTAACAGTAATCCGAACGTTCCTCTTCTACCCGATGACCCGATAATTTCACTATCCGAACATTTGACGATATCGAGTAGGAAAATCGCTAATTAATCCGTTAATGATCTCGATTTAAAGGTAGCAATACATAAACATCACAGAATTATACTTCACCGATAGTTCACAAGTGTTTTTCTACACTCGAATAATGACGATGACTAATCGAGCAATTATGACTTCACCAAATCGCATTACGGCGTACACATCCATGACGATATGCATTGACCCCAAGACATACACGACTAGACACTTTTGAGGGCATATACTGCTTCTAATGAGCCTTATTTCCGACTATTTCTTTTACAGCATAAATGTGCGCTTAGGTTTAGCGTACTATCTCGATAGCCTCCCTACCTATAGAAGACGTTGTCCTCCGAGAAAAGCATAATCACAGTTAACAAAAATCCATTTATCGACGAGGCTTCGCTCGTGCCGGTGAGTCTCGCGATGATTTTTCTGGCTACTGTACAGAGAGTACACCACAGACAGATTAACTGATTAAGAGAGTACTAGGAGGTATCTGGTTAGTATTTTAGACTCGACGCACTTTGTTAAATTAGTACAGTCTATGGAAAAAAAATATTTGAATGCCACAACTTCAAAACAAAATAACAGGATACTGAACCAGGAAAAACCGAAAATTCTGATGTTCTGCATTCCTCAAATAAAAGATTCCTCAGAAATGCACGATTTTTACCAGAATGCGATTTCAAACTAGTAAACATCGTTAAACGAAAACAGGACAAAACAGGAGCTTTTCTCTCCATTGAACTAAAATCCTTGGGAAGGAATAGTTGCAGAAGTTCTGAGAAGATTGGAAAGATTTACGAAAGCTTTCAGAGGCAGTTGTTCGAATATGAAGCATCGATGAACACGAATGAAACGTTATAAATGAGAAATAAACATTTTAAAAGAGATTTTCTCACTTCATTAATCTAGATAAAGGTAGCGTTCTTCAGTTGAAACGAAATCAATGACTGGACAGCGCGACCATCAAACAGCCTAAACCAGAAACCTCTTCTCTTTAGGAGACCACTTTTACTGTGTTGTTAACGTAGATCCTCACATCGTGATATCATAAATCCAAAAAAGTCTTCAAAAATGAAAGAAATGCCCTTCAACTTCAAGAAATGAATCTCAAAAGAACTTGTAGATCTTTATAGAAGTGGAAAATAGAAACGGATTAAAGAATAGAGTGCTTCAACAAGGCAAAATGAATAAGTGGCTCTAAAACTACCTCTTAATCTGATAACAACATCCAATCAATAGTAATATTATTGGTTTTAATTTTTGAACTAGTGTTAGATAAGCGTTATAACTGAACAACGGACGAATTGACGAGCAACGCTCTGAAGTTAACCTTGGAATTCGCACGGTTGACGGCAACTGGCCGAAACCTGTCTTTAGGGTTGTTGGCGCCCCGATAAATCGTCCAGCCAACTCCTTGAATATTGACGACCCTTTCGTCCGTCCTAACCCAGACCACTAGGTAATTTAAGCATAGGTGCCTAGTGAACTCGATCCAATGAATTAAATTTGTTAGCGATGATGAAAAATATATACTGGATATTCTCAAATGCTTGAATATACGTCCTAAGCTACCATTGTGGCTATGTGCTGTCGACATCGAGAAGCAAGAAGACCCATTGATATTTACGCCTACGCTTTATTGAAATTACTCAGTTAAATGTGCCTTTTCCGCAGAAACTGTTTAATTCTACATTAATATTAAAGAAAAAGAGATAAAGAGATCAGGATTGATCAATCCCTGACGTACGTGCCATTCGGTTCGACTTTATTAAAACCACTAGGGGCAATGGAATGTCGATATGGCGCAATTACTTGCGGTCGCGAACCAATGTACCAGATCATTGGTGTTATCCTGCCAGACAAATCCGGTAGCAACTTGCCAATCCCGAAAGGAAGGGTTGCTTGGTAATCCTTGGGAGTGGGGTCGAACCAGCATAACGTATAACTATTTCGTTGCTTTCTGCTAAAGAAATTTGATGCCAAAGCAAACCCTTACGATCGTTGTTTTATTAAATGTACTCTAAGGCTTAGTTGTAAGGCTAAATAAAACTCCAAACACAAACAGAGAATTTTATGACATCTTATACACTAACATTCGAATGATACATGCTATTCAGTAAAGTTATTGTTTTGTTAAGAAGGACTGGGAAGTGGTATTAAGTGAAAAGTAAAAAGATATGAAAATACGATGATCTGAAATCGGTCAGTGTTACGAGACACTCGCTGACTGATGATGTTTTGGCGTTGCGCCAACCACTGACCCCATTTTCCTCACGTGAAATTTCGCATCCCACTCAACTACCTCCATCAAGGATAACAATACCTCATTAAATCTACGACGAGTAGAATCCTTAGGTCAGATGTTAACTCATTCTTATTCACTTGTTCAACAGTCTAATTAGTCACTAGCTCTCAAGCCTTCCTTGTTTTTCATTCACATTTTTCCGAAGAATCGTTTTTTGCTTGAATTACAACGATATAAAAAACTACTGAGAAAAGAGTACTTTGGCTCAGGATCGGACATTACAGAATCATTGGATCGATAGCTGTTATTGATGTTTCAGGATGTGAATTCAATGCTTATCGATTGATGTATCAATGAGATTATAGCACCAGCTGACCTCGTTCATACTATGGCGTAGCGTCGGAAACACGAATGAAGAGAATGAAGAGAGGAAAAGAAAGAGCAAAATTTTCGAAGTGAAACCGACGGCGGTCGAGCGATTTGAGAGTGATTTCAAACCAAATGGGAGCAGATGAATGCCAAAGACGGGTGCGGAAAACGTCCTAAGAGCGAAAAACGACTATTTTATCGCGCTTATAGCAATCTACAGTGCTATCATTGAGTATATTTGGTTAAAATACTAAGTAAGAGTAAATAGAAGAGGAAAAACTGATATGTGTCACGCACCCATGTGAATCTGTATGAAACTGAATGGCTTTCTTTCTCTCCTGTTTAGAAAACAGTTGACTCATCATCTGGCACAAAAACTTCCGTTAGAGGAAGTTTGTCATTCAGGAGGCTGCTTGGAGATGCAACTAGTCTAGACGTTCTAGACGAAACTTGATGGAAACGACATCTCATTGACTAGAAGGAATAAATTTACATATCTTGAACTTCAATTGGTAAGAAGAATCAGGAAAACGACTCTCAGTAATATGCTTTGCTACTGTTTCCTTTGTTTACTACATTACACTTATGAAATAGTCAGATAAATAGCGTAAACATCGAAATGGTCGTTTCATGCGCTTGATACTAAGCCTATCGGACTACCGATTCGTCCCCACTGTGAACTGCATGATATTTTTTTCTACGAAGATAAACTCTGAAAATGACATAAAACATATTTTTTATTCAAACGGGGTGTCACTGATAAACAGAAAACTTCAGAGATTTTTTTAATGATAAAAGAGATCTGAACATAGGAAACTGTGTTAGACACTTAACTGTTAACTCTCCACGACGCTTACGGTATTAAAGAACCTTCTAGCGCTGACTAAAGAAGAAGGAACTCTACCAATTAGGGTTGTACAGAGAAAAATCCATAGTCATCACATCATTTACTTCCTTGGCAACGCTATGGAAATTCACATGACGGCACACTTCATTGTGTTTCTCTCAATCC